TAATAGAGCACACTTGTGTTAAAGCCAGTTGCTTTGTCCCCCTGTTGATTGCAAAGTTAACAAAAGAATTGGTGACAGTGAGCACACCAGAATCCAACTCGAACGTTGTTGTCTCCTCTCCGTAACATCGAGTAGGCGATTTTATGTCAGAGTATTTACCAGATGATGAGGAGATGGGAACGTAGGCTTCGGTGGCAACGAAAACCGGAGCTACTGACCAATTCTGGGGCATCGTTTTTAAGCTGTTCAAGTGATTCACACGGTAACGTGCACTGCGGTTGACTAAATCAAACATCGTCAGCAGTCTGATCTGCGCAGGGGAGTTGGTTAATAGAAACTGGTTGTGAGATACCTTTGTTTTACCTTCCGTGACCCTATTTACTCTTAAAATAGACCGGACAAGAGATGGCTCTAGTGTTTAGAAAGCAAATTTACTGGCCGGAAAATTCGTAGATCTCTGCCTCTCGACTTCCCCTATCTAGACCTGAGCAACCTGGCAGTATCCCAGTCCTCGTGCTACCTTCAGTTGGCGTGGCAGCTAGGCATCGAAAGGGTGGTACAGCTGGTCGATTTAAAATAGATCACGATAACTAGGATGCGTGCGCGTTATGTTAGGCAAGACGTGTGGATATTAATCTGCTGCGTACACCAGCTGCTGTGCCCCTTACCTGCTTTAGGTAACGTTTTAACGGCCATCTCATTTGAACATGCCTACGTAGCATTTATGCTGTGCCGTGTCTAGTTTCCCGTTGTACCTGGTGCCAGTCCAAGCTGTGCTTGCTTCTTGAGCCGGACAATTTCCTCTTCTTTTCCCCGTTGTGTAAATGGGAGTGATGCTTCCGTTTACGACCTTGCCTGGATGCTCTAAAACAGTTCTTATCTTATCCTCCGCACACCAGGTCGTAATTTGTACACTAACGAACACGTGGCCATCAAACTAGAGCCAATGAAAACACGGGCGCCGCAGCTGCACCTGGAATATCGATTTTATCGAATGCTTCAGAGCGGGTCTGTTGGTGGATTTCCTCAGGTCTACTACTTCGGGCCTGTCGGTCGTCACAATGCGCTCGTTATGGAGTTGTTGGGTCCCTCTCTGGAAGATCTGTTCGAGATATGCAAGAGACAGTTCTCACTCAAGACAGTCCTGATGATTGCTATCCAGCTGGTAGGTCGCAATTATTATGTTTTTGCTATCGTAACTGTTCGATTGATTAGAATGGTTTTACCATGTACTAAAACACTGATTCGAGTTGTAGCACCCTGTAATAGCGGTAATGCCTCAGTCCAGTTCTCGGTGTGAACCTTCTCGTCAAATCGACCACTAAAGGTGAACAATTTGTGTTAACACCGAAAACCAGGTGAATAATCATGCATATGAGTCGACAACATTCTAGAAATTCCGACGCCTTCTGGGTATGGAATTGGCAACCGGCATTCGGCGGATACTGGATCATGATTGGCTGTTGAGTCTACACCTTCGGCCAATCAGAGCTCAACTTGATGCTGGACCGGCAAGCGACCTGTTCTTCTGGCCAATCGGATGCATGTTATGCCTCTTGACCGTAGCACCGCCTAAGTGCGAGCGGTTTCGGTGAGGAATTCACCCACACCCGATTTATCCCTTTACCAATATACAATCGTTTACGCACCTAACCATCCATTCTCCAAAGTAGTCGATGTCTTCCGTAGATTCGCTTACGAAATCTATCTACACACGACGGACTGTTGCAAGATCTTTACGACTGCATGTGTACCTTGGGAAAGTGAAAATCAGTGGACTTCCGCTAACCAAGTTTGCAATGCATTGACAACCACCTTAATTGCTAAAAACGGCTGAGCCAGGGTATGTTTTCAGAAAGACGCACCGAAACTTTCACCTGCATAAATAAAATTTTTAGACTCTCACATCGATTTCGGAACATGACGAGGCATCACTTATGGTGTTCTCAAAACCCTGCTCAGCTGCCACACTTTCATCCATGTTCCGCAGACCTTTGATATCCCAGACTTTCTGTGTGACTGACATCTCGACATATGTCGGTTGATATTCACCCATTAAACCAACCCGTCCGATTGGCCATTGATTTTTGTCCGGAATAATCGTTCAACATCACGGGGGAACGCAGACCTAGGTTTCTAATGAGATAGAACTACACACTAAATCGTGCCCGACGGAGAATCCTATTGTGTTCTTCATGGGATAAACCTCTTTTCGAAACGAAACTTTTGTTATTCGTGTAGCGTACATAAATAAGACATGTAGAGTCGGGAACTGTGGGATTACGTTCTTTGTATTCTCAGACTTCCGGACGTGTGGGAGTGTACGGAGAGCTCTCCAAAAGCTTTCGTACACAAAGCGGTGTCCGTCAGGGATGCCCACTCTCTCCATTCCTTTTTAACTTCGTGATCGATGAAATAATGGGACGAACGCTGGAGGGTCTCCAAAAACCTGGTGTTCAAATAGCCTGTGAAGAAAATCTTGTCGATCTGGAATATGCAGACGACATCGCTCTCATGTGCGAAGAGTAGAAGGCACAAGTATTCTTGGATGAACTGACCAAAGTCATCCCGTCCTTTGGTATGCACTTTGCACCCACAAAGTGTAAGGTCATGCTTGTGGAC